TCTTGTCACTTTCATTTTCTACTTGCATTTGGCTGCACTATAAAAGCCTGGAAAACACTCCTTATGCACACAGCAGTCATACACAAAGTCATACACGTAAAATTCAGGAACACAGCTGTTTATCTCTTCTTTGGTTTTTCTTCAGACTCCAGAAAATGGGGAAAAACGTCCACCTGTGCCAAAGGCCACACCCGCTCCCCGTACAACTGCCAGTAAGAATGGCTCCTCTGCAACTGCTGCAGGCAAGACTGCAGGTACGAGGATACAGTGCAGCATCAGTTCCTTTGCTGCACCTGCAGCATATCTGACTGTACCGGTTTGCATGATATGAAATAAGATAAGATAAGATCACCTTTATTAGTCCCACACATGGGAAATTTGTTTTGTCACAGTAGAAAGTGGACAATAGAATCTGCCGTTCCTTACAGTATCTCAACATATTCTCTGCAACAGGAGACTTCACTATGAAGCGCCTTGAGGCGACTTATGTTGTGATTTGGCGCTATATAAATAAAATTGAATTGAATTGAATTGAATTGAACTTGCTGCTCTAGCTCGAACAGTGACTTGCATTGCACACTGGCGCTGCTCCAGGCTGCATCAACAGGCTAACTGAATTGCTACCATATGTTAGACTTAATCAGATTCAAGTGCTGGCTTTTGAAGAGCCCAACTGGTATTTTTGTCTGCACATGACAAACAGTATCTCACCTCTCAGAGCAAGGGAGATATGAGCTTTTTGTGTGTACCCTCACACAATATGATTCAGTCACCCAGTTCACAGCAATAGGTGTTATGTGCTGTAGGGTTTATGTTTCATTTTAGCTGCATGAGTGCTCCGTTACTCTTTGAGACTTTTGCCCCAGTGTCAACAGTTATGTCCAAGTCCATGATGTTTCTGTCACATCACAGCAGTATTACATACTGTGGCTTTATCAAAAACTGTACATACTGTTACTGGAAACTCATGTTATGCAGTTAACAAACTTCATGTCACCAGAAATTGTTGAGTTTCTGTCTGATTTTGCCTTTAAGCAGTCAGCTCTGCAATATTGTAGAAAAATAAATATCTATGGGCAGAACATATCAGTTAAATAATCACATCCTTGCCAATAAAACCTAAAAGTAGGTGTGATAAATTCAAACTACATCATATAGAAACATATAATATAGTGATAAACAATAGTCTGCACTCACAAAGCTTAATTAAACACAATATTGACAAAACATTTTTAGTTTTAGTCTTTGATTATTTGATCAGTCTGTAAGTCAGCTGATGTGGTTGTCGGGTCTGTATAATCATATCTATTCTAAATGTATTTTACTTTGCCTAAATATTGCATGTAAATATAAATATTTGAAATACTACAAAATAAACTAAAATGATCAAAACGAATCCCAAAAGTAACCAAAACCAAACGACACAAAAAAAAATGTGACAAGTTCATCCAAGTTTTCTTGTCTTTCGGAAAAAACAAGTAAGAAAACAACTCTACAGCAAGGTAAGAATGGCAGAGCCGTGATTTAGCACTTCTAAATTTACCGTGTGTTAGTACGGTTAACAGTTTTCTGTAACATCAGCTAGACAGGAGGTGACAACAGCAGTGAATGTACATGTCTATTCTTCACTCTCTTTATAGCTTCGATTTGGTGTCCACAGACTTGAGAATAAACAAATAACTCATGAGATGCTGAATATTGAAGTCTCAGCTCAAGTTAGTCATTAATGTTGTCTGTCATATTATTGGATCATTACTATAATTTAATGTGAAAAGAAGTGTCCTATTCAACAGGGTGTTATATATATATATATATATATATATATATATATA